CTTGGTCATCCTTGGTGGCACCCCATCAGTTCTGGTGAAGGACAAAGGGAGAAGCGTGGGGATGGGATTCCTTATTCAGGGAAGGGGAGTCACAAAAGGAGGGGAAAACTCTCCTGAGATGGTTCAAGATCAGAGAGGAAAAAGGGTTTCTGGAGGCACTTACGCTGGGTATATTATCGTTGGTACAGACCCCCTCCGATAGTAATCTGTCTCGGATCTCCCAAGCAAAGATGGAGGGGCACTCCCGTTTATACTGTGCTATTTTGCTTACAACTTCTGGAGTCGCTACTCTCGGTTTACTACCTCCGATTGCCCGCGGTCGGATGGAGCCAGTTTCGTAATACCTGCCCAGAATTTTACTCACACAGCCATTCGATACCTGCATCAGGGAAGCGGACAGAAAATCACATTATTAATAATTTCAAGACAAAAATAAAATTGTTTAAGTATGCATTAAACAATGACAAGCTTACGTTTTGATTGTCCAGCACTTGGACTTTTGCATCTGCATGGGTCTATAACACAAAAATATACCTTAAATGGTATGAGAACTTACTTAAGAGAGGTTTTCTTTTTCTTTTCTCTTTCAAAAAAAATATTACATTCGTGGCCCTAAACACTAGCAAAGTGAGTTTTTTTTTTTGTTTTTGTTTTGTTTTGTTTTGTTTTGGTTTGGTTCAAATAAAAAACCCACTTGAAAGGGGAAAGGGTGGGAGAAAAACTGGAGAAAAATGTCAGATCTTGGTAGGGATGCAACTAGAGATATCATCAGACCAGTTTTCAAAATAGTCAGATTCCTGAGGGTTGGTTGGGAGGGGAGGTTGGGAAGATGTGGGTGGATTATCAAGTGGGAAATCTCCTGGATCCCTAAGCCAAATCCCTGGCCAAATCACTTTCTCAGGGGTACATCAACACCCAGGGAACTCTTTCCAAGGAAACCATAGATGCTTCTTGTTAATATAGATTTATAGGGAGATATATATCTATATATATCTATCTATATATATATAACACAGACACATAGATAAATACCGACATGCAGAAGTTCTAGAGGGCTGGGGAGGATATTCAAGCCCTCTGACCTAGACACACTCGATTGGAAAGAAATCTCATTAAAAACCATGGCTTTTTCCAGATCAGGGTGTGTTTAGGTTGAGAGTCTG